ACCAGAACTGCGGAGCGGGGCGGAGCGGAGAGCGGAGCCCGGTGCTGTGTGAGGAGCCCCGCGCTGTGCGCGGAGCCCTGCGCGGAGCCCATGCTGTGTGCAGATCATGCCCAGGAGCTCCACATGGAGCAGGGCCCCGCGCAGAGCACCCCACATAGAGCGGGGCCCTGCCCAGAGCCCCATGCTGTGCGCAGAGCATGCCCAGGAGCCCTGCAGGGAGCAGAGTCCCGCACAGAGCAGAACTCCACGTGGAGCAGACCCTGCACAGAGCTCCCCGCATGGAGCGCAGAACCCCCTGAACCCCATGTGCAGCGGAGCCCCACGCGGAGCTCCTCACACAGAGCAGAGTGCCCCACTGATCCCCACACGGAGCTCCCCACATGGAGCAGAGTGCCCCACTGAGCCTCATGCAGAGCAGAGGCTCCCCATGTAGAGCAGAGTCCCTCCTCGAGCCCCACACGGAGCTCCCCCCGCAGAGCAGAGCCTGGTGCCAAGCAGCCCATCCCCCCAGAGTAGATCCCCACACGGGGCGGCCCCAGCGCCCGCCAGGAAACAAAACCTGAGGTGGAGGCCGGGCTTCTCATTTGATCCTCCTTCTCATCACCCTCCTTGTCGTCCTTCTCTGTCACGATCCTGCTCTTGCTGCTGGTGCCGGAGCTATGGAAAGCGGCCAGAAGCCCTACACGCAGCTCCCCGATAGCCTGGATATGGAGCCGCTGCCGCAGGGTGCCACCGTGGTGCCGGTACCACCGGCCGTCCTGCCAGCCACCCTGCCACCCCGGGACTTCCTCGCCTGGTCCCTCGGCAGCCTCATGTACTTCAACTGCTGCTGCCTTGGCCTCATGGCCGTCATCTTCTCCATCAAGGTGGGAACAGCCGCTGCTGCTGCCGCCAGAGGGGTCCCAGGACTCCCGGCCTGCCTGGGACCCCCCTGTCCTGGTGTTGACTCCCACTTACGTCTTCCCCCCGCTTGCTCCAGTCCAGGGACCGCAAAATGCTCGGCGACCACAGCGGCGCCCTCAGCTACGGCTCCACCGCCAAAGGCCTCAACATCGCA